CATTTGGATTTGGTCCCAATTTTGAGTGACGATCAGCCAAACCATTCATCCAGTGGAAATTTAAAACAAAATGCATAATTATTAATATTTCTTACCCTCCCAGAGCAGCATCTAAGAAAAAAGATTTCCACAAGGACTTTTACAGATTAAACAGGCACATCCAAACCAGGTTCAAACCATGGGAAACAAAGTAGGGCACAACTAACAACATTAAAAAGATAAGGAAGCTCTAAGACCAAGAAGTCAAGAGATGTCAGAGTCTTTTGTTTATAAATACACTCACAAAACATTTAATGAGAAAAATCTAAATGCCCCCCAAGAAAATCAGCAGTTGTCTACCTCTGATAAAATACACTTCAGTGAAATGGACAAATTATTCAATAATGTAAATTCATAAAACAAACTAAAAAACAAAGAGAAGCGAAATGTTCCTACAGCTAAATCAATTCTTAATAACAAAAAAATCCTACCAAGAAAACACCAAGCCCAAAGTTTAACATGAGGATAGAAAAAAGAATAAATCTTGCCCCAAATGTATGAGATTAGTACAACCTTAATATCAAACCAAAGGTCAATATAAAAAAGGGAAATTACAAATCAATCTTATTCATAATAAATGTAAAATGTACTAAATCAAATATTGCCAAATTGAATCCAATAATTTAAAGGTTTCTTTCATGACCACATGGTTAGTTTAATATTAGAAAAAGCTGTTAATATTTCCAAAGACTGAAGGGGAAAACGATCTGGTCATCTCAATATATACAAAAAAAGCATACAATAATATTCAACAACAATTCATGATATAAACTATTAGCAAGCCAGAAACAGAAGAGAACATCTGTACTTTATAACAAGTATCTACAAGAAACCTACAGAAAACATTATGCACAGTAGTGAAGCATTAAAATCACTACTTAAAAAATCAGTAGCACTGCAAAGATGTCTATCCTCCATTTTCAGTATTTACTGGAGGTTGTGGCCAGTGTGTATGAACACACAAACACAGAGACACATACACACAATATAGATGAACTTAGAAGTTAAGAGATAAATGCCATTATTTTATCATTTATATCAATTGTCTTTATTTAAAATCTGAAAGAACCTATACATTTATAAACTATTAAAAAGAAAAAAATTAAAAGAGTTTAGAAAGTTTTTTCTATTATCAAATCACTATGCAAAAGCCAAATACACACGCACATACCAGCAATAATGCTAGAAAGATCATTTCTTAAAAATACAATTTATAACAACCAAAAATAAAAAATTTAATTAAATTATAAAGAATTGTAATTCTACCAATAAAGGTATGCAAGACCTTTATGAAGAAAATAAAATGTCGTTAAAAGATTAAACAAGAAAAAAGATTAAATAAGATCTAAGCAAACACAGAAAAATGCTATGCTCATAGATAATAAATTACCTTCAGGAGGTCAATTCTTCTCCAAAATTAATCTATAGAACCAACGCAATTATAGGCTGAGCATTCCAAATCTGAAAACCCCAAATCCAAAAATGCTCCAAAATGTGAACCTTTTTGAGCACTGACAAGATGCTAAAAAAGAAAAAATTCACTGAAGCATTTCAGATTTCAGATTTTGGGATACTCAACAAATATAATACAAATGTTTCAAATTCTGAAAAACATCACAAATCCAAAAATAGGACCAAATACTTCTGGTCCTAATCATTGCAGATAAGGGATACCTAACCTGAACCTTAATATCCTGTCAAGTATTCTTAAAGAACTTGAAAAGCTGATTTTAAGATTTATATGGAAAAGAAATGACTAAGAATAGCTAAGGAACTGTTGTAAAAGAAAAACATATGGGTGAATAGAAGGCTGGGAAATTTGACCTACTAGATATTAAAAATTATTTAAAGTTATACTAACATTATAGATTTGGCTGTGGAATAGAATGTTCTGAAAGGAGCCCACACATATACAGAAATCTGATATACTGCAGAGATGGCACTGCAGATTAGTGCAGATAGGATGAATTCTTCAAGAAATAGATAAGAACACTGGACAAAGTAAAATTACATCTCTATCTTATACACGAAATTACAGATGAATTACAACCCTAAACATGAAAGTCAAAATATTTAAACTTACAGAAGAAAATATATGAAAATATGTTAATAATCTAAGGATTGAGAAGAATTTCTAAAAAACAATGCATTAAAAGTAGTTGCCTAGATGGTATTGCCTAGGTAATACCATTCAAGACATAGGCATGGGCAAAGAATTCATGCCTAAAACACCAAAAGCAATGGAAACAAAAGCCAAAACAGGCAAATGGAATTAAACTAAAGAGCTTCTGCACAGTAAAAGAAACTATCATCAGAGTGAACAGACAACCTACAGAATGGGAGAAAATTTTTGCAGTCTATCCATCTGGGCTAATAATATCCAGAATCTACAAAGAACTTACACAAATTTGTAAGTAAAAAACAACCTCATCAAAAAGTCGGCAAAGCATATAAACAGACACTTCTCAAAAGAAGATATTTATTGCCAGGCGTGGTGGCTCATGCCTGTAATCCAAGCACTTTGGAGGCCAAGGCAGGCAGATCACCTGAGGTTGGGAGTTCAAGACCAGCCTGACCAACATGGTGAAACCCCGTCTTAAAAAAAAAAAAAGAAGATATTTATTTACGCAGTCAACAAACATATGAAGAAAAGCTCATCATCACTGGTCATTAGAAAATGCAAATCAAAACCACAATGAGATGCCATCTCATGCCAGTTAGATGGTGATCATTAAAACGTCAGAAGACAACAGATGCTGGACAGGATGTGGAAAAATAGGAATGCTTTTTTTTACAAAGTATAAATTAGTTCAACCATTGTGGAAGACCAGTGTGGCGATTCCTCAAGGATCTAGAACTAGAAATACCATTTGACCCAGCAATCCGACTACTGGGTATACACCCAAAAGATTATAAATCATTCTACTATAAAGACACATGCACACATATGTTTACTACAGCACTGTTTACAATAGCAAAGACTTGGAATCAACCCAAATGCCCATCAATGATAGACTGAATAAAGAAAATGTGGCATATATACACCATGGAATACTATGCAGCCATAAAAAGGATGAGTTCATGTTTTCTGCAGGGACATGGATGAAGGTGGAAACCATCATTCTCAGCAAACTAACACAGGAATAGAAAACCAAATACATGTTCTCGCTCATAAGTGGGAGTTGAACAATGAGAACACATGGACACAGGGAGGAGAACATCACACACTGGGGCCTGTTAGGGGGTAGGGGGGCGGGGTAGGGGAGGGAAAGCATTAGGAGAAATACCTAATATAAATGACAGGTTGATGGGTCCAGCAAACCACCATGGCAAGTGTATACCTATGTAACAAACCTGTACATTCTGCACATTACTTCAGAAATTAAAATATTTTAAAAAATGAATGCAAGCATCTTTCTCTCACATACACAAAAAAAGTCACTGCCATAAAGAAAAAAGAAAAAAAATGTGAACATTAAAATTAATCAGTTTGGTTCACCAAAAAACACCACAGAGGGGTTGAAAATACAGGCCACAAACAGACAGAAAATACAATATAATGAAACTAATAATAAATATCCAGAATACATAAAGAACACAAATAAATTAGAAAAAAAAACCCAATAGAAAACAGACAAAGCAACAAACAAAACAAAACAAAAACTGTAAACATATGGGGAGACACTTAACCTCTTTGGTAATTAGGAAAATATAAATAAAAGGATAATGAAATACCTTAGAGTTAGCTCGGACGTGGAACAATGGGAACTCTCACACCCTGCTTATCGGGGGAACAAATGACTTATAACTATTTTGGAAAATATTTTGGCATTAGTAAAGCTGAACATATACATACTCCATGACCCAGCAATTTCATACTGAGAAATATACTCTAGAAAAATTCTTATATATATGTACCAGAAGACATATAAAAGAATGTATTATCTTACTCATTGGGGTCAAAATTAGAAATTAACTCTGAAATGAAAAAATCATACAATATACACTCATCCAAAATTAATGTTTGTGGGGCACATACATATTCTTTTCATGGACTTCATTAATTGCTAAATTCATTAATAAGTATTTGTACATATTATCCTTTTGTAAATGCAGAGATAAAATACACCTGACAATTTTTGATGTCGCATAAATAGCTTTTTGTTCCCACTGACAGGCATATGTACTTTAATCACCAAACACTATATCAAGTATTTATAAAAGAAAATCCTTTTTGAGGATTATTTTGGTTTAATCAGGATTAAAAGGAAATAAAACTTTATCCTTATCCTTGAGTGAAGTAACTTGAGTTTTAATATCTTTACTTAATCAGAAAATACAGAGGGAAACAATAATATAGAGAGAGCCTGATGTCCTGTGGTCTTCCTGAATAACAACCCATCTTTAAGAGACTATAATCTACTCAACAGAAAGCATTCTACCAAGGATTTTAATCAGATTCTAAGAAAATTCACACTCAAAGTAAACAATGTGCCACTAAAACCAAAACAATATAGGTATTAGCAACTGTATAAAAGATTAGCCTCAATCTGATGAGTCATTTCTAAGATAACAAAAAGTATAATTCTTTGAAGTGCTTTCTATTCAAGCTGGAAAATATATAAAGATATGGAATCATTTGCCAAGCAGGCTGACTGAGAAATTTTTCATTTTCTTTCTCATTTGACTGTATGCAGACATCAAACTAAGAATGGCAAAAATGAATCTCTCTTCCTACATATTAATACTAACTTTTTCTTTGTTTTCTCAAGGTATTTTACTTTCAGCATCCAAGTCCATAAGAAATTTAGATGATGACATGGTATTTAATACATTCAGGTTGGGGAAAGCCTTTCAGAAGGAAGACACTGCAGAAAAATCAGTTATTGCTCCTTCCCTGGAACAATATAAAAATGATGAAAGCAGTTTCATGAACGAAGAGGAAAACAAAAATTTAAAGGTAAGTGGCACTGTGACTTGTCATTTATTTCAATGAAAATTTAAATGATTCTTACAAATCCTCTGAAAATTGATACTTTTATAAAAAAACTGATACATTTATAAACAGAAATATATGTAAACAGTCACAATATGTATTAGGATAACTGCCAATATTTCTTATATGCCAGGTAGTTCTTCCATCCTGGAGAACCTCTTATCTAAAAGGGTATTTTTTCTCCTATAAATTTGCATATAAGGTTTTTTTAAAGAGTCAAAAACAGTACAGAGCATCTTTGAATTGATCAACAAGAATATTCTACATTTGTATTATAGTTCCACTCCAAATATAATAGCTAAAAAACAAATCAACCTTCTCTTTACAGAACACAGGCTCCAAACATAATTTCTTAAATCATGGTCTGCCACTGAATCTGGCTATAAAACCTTATCTTGCACTAAAAGGATCTGTAGCTTTTCCAGCTGAGAATGGAGTTCAGAATACTGAATCAACACAAGAAAAGAGAGAAATTGGGGATGAAGAAAACTCAGCTAAATTTCCTATAGGAAGGAGAGATTTTGACAGTGAGTAGTCTTTTCAAAATTCAATTCTTACATCCTTCCACCATTAAACAGAACTCTGAGTTTAAGCGAATTTGGATGCAATCATAACAAAATCAAGTAAGACCGTGGCTCGATTACACCTGCCAAAAATGTGGGATTAAAAAGCATTTAATTAGTTATTAACAGTTTGGTTTACTCAGAATTAGTTGTACTAGATCCATTCTTTTTTTTCTTAATAAATTTTGTGTGATAATTATAATCCTTTTAACAATTTAAACTTTCTTCTTTCTTCAGTGCTCAGATGTATGCTGGGAAGAGTCTACCGACCTTGTTGGCAAATCTGATACCTGTTGGTCCACATCATCTTTTCAGAAGAAAATAGAAGCATTTAATTGCCAATGGGAAGAGAAGCCTGTAATGCTACTATAACTTGTGTCTTATGTTAAATGTCTGATTTAAAAGAAAGTAGTGTTAAGATATATCAGTAACCGAAATGATATGCTTTTTCTGTGCATTAAACTTTGTGAAAATTCTGCATAATTATGACTTATTAGTATTTTTGAACAATGCTTAACATACTAACCTTACATACACTCTAGACCAATATAATAAAGCATCATAATTTACACCTTGATCTCTTAAAAATTAAGAATGTCTTTGGTGAATGGCTTTATATATGCATAAACCTAAAGCATATAATACACAAACTTATAGTCTAAAAAACTGAGTTAACTTTGTCTGGCCAGGAATCAACTTGTTCTTGGCAGTACATTTATTGCTTTTTGCTACTTTAGCTAGTTTGCCATACAATTTATTCTGTGAATCATTTGATTTCTTAGGCATTTTAACACTTTTATGTTGAGGTGGTTCATTTCCATTATCACAGAGAATATTTTCACCATCCAAAGCCACCTGTTTCCTTTTTGAGCTTTTATTTCCTGTCTGACTACTTGATTTTCCTGACACTTTTTCATTTTTACTTCTGTCCAGATGAACATTTCCAAAACTCATTCCAATTGTTGATCTTCCAATGGATGAATTTATGCCCTCTGTTATGCAAGATAAAAAGAGGAAAGGAATTATATAATATTTAGTATTAATATTCATGAGAACTTTATAATAAACTTTAAAAATGGCTAAAGAATATTCAAATTTTTATTTTTAAAGTAAAACAGTACTATAAATAATATAATTAACAAATATAGCTACATTACTATCCCATTACTTTTAAGTTTACCACAGCACCTCTGAGTTAACTTTGGCCAGTAATCAAATCATCAATGCTACTAAAATATTTGTTTGAATGCATGACATTTCATCCTTAAACATATGCTACATATTACTTCTTAAATACATTTAGTTAAATCAAATTGTGTCCTATTCCTATCCATAAATCTGTATTTAGATTTAACTTTTTGAATAAACTGAGGTCTTTAAAAATATAAATCTTTCAGCCTTCAAAAATATATATATATATATATATATATATATATATATATATAAACCTTTAAATTACATAGTACTTTGCAAAAATAATCCAGTTTTACTTAAAACTAATTAGTAGACTAGAATTAAATTGTTTTTTAATTGCACAAAAAAGATCAATTACCAGAAAGGTTATTTTCCATCTGAAGAACACACAAAGGCTTTGATGCTACATTAATATTCTTCCAATTATCCTTGCTAATCATGTTGTCATCTTTATAAGTACAAGCAAATTGGGATCTAATTAAGGTTTGCTTCATCTGGTAACAGAAAGAAAAAAGAAAATATGCAATTTATTCATTATTTTATTTCTTCATCTAGATACATACACACTCTGTAGTAATCGAGGTATAAAAATTTCCCTTAGAAATTTTTATTTATTACTCATTGTAATTACCCAATCCTTTATTAAGCTATAACCTTTCATATTTCATAGTTTGCGAACTCATTCATTGCTATGGCTAGCATTTTTGTTCTTCACCACAAATACTAGCTTTATGTATATTTTTTATTTTTTTGTAACAGTTATAAAACAATTTCAGACTCTTTATACGGCTTTGTTACACATTCCTATGTCAGCACTGCTCTGGAGCATTTTATTGTAAGTAAAATAACAATACAGGTAATATACATAATCATAGAAAAATACAAGTTCTTCATCCTAAGAAGAACACGACTCTTTTGGAAAAAGCATATGGAATTCAAGAAATTAGGGAGGGAAGAAATGCTAAGATGAAAAAAGAACTAAGTGAGGTCAAAAGAATCAAAACCAGAAAACTAGCAAAGAAATAACTCCAAGATAAAACAAAATAATGTTGGAAAGGCATTATTTCTTGAGTATTTAAGAAAACAAGAAAGATGATTCAATATATCATTCTAGAAGGATTTGACCAAGTGACTTAGTGGTCAGAAATTCAAAATATACTCTTGCATTTATCTACAAATATCAAATAGGAGGGCCTGACTTTCTACATAAATAGGAGAAAATTACAAAGATAAACTTAATTCTTGACCATTGAAAAGGATGCCAAAAAAAGTAGTTCTGGAAATATGTTCCACAAACATAAACCAGTGAGCTGTTGAGGGATAGAAATTAATTTTAGAACAAAGTAGCCTATATAAATAATGCCAATTTCAACAATTACAGATGATGTGTAATACGGCATTCAGTTTTAATGCAGAGATTTCTCCAAATATTTAGAAGTCTCCTGAAATCGTTTTCTGAAATAGACAAAGTTTCAAATACATAATTCAATAAAGATGACTTCAATAATTCAAAAATTTAACACTTTGAGTATATTACTTACAGAGTATTTATTGATACAGTCATGAAATCTAAAACAGCATGGCTTTACAGTGTATATTCAGTGGTTACATATTATGTTATATATTGAGAGATCAGTTTATTAATCTACTCAAATGTTCATAAAGATAATTGCAGTGAAATCTACTATGGCTTAGAAAAAATTAGAATAATCTCCTGTCCAGCTGCTTTATAAAAGCAAGTTTTCTTAGGATGACAAATTTTCCATCTTTCTGATTAATGATGTCTGTGACAATCTCCATCTCCCAGATCACGAAAAATTATGTTTCATGTGCTTAAACGAAGCATTAGACAATTAGAGTTTTGTCTTCCATATAAGCATAAAAATGCACAAAATTGAAAATAAAGGTGAACATATACAAGATCAAAAAACTAGTTTTTTTGTTGAACAGAATGAATGCAACATTTATTATATAGCTTCCACCACAAGATGCCCCATAAATAACTGAAGATTTTAAGAAGCTCTTTCTGGACTTTATTAATTCTACAACTACACATTTAAAGCAGTTGATAAACCTATTTAAATAGTCTTTATTAATAAAATTGACTCTATATTATATCACATAATAGTAGCATTATCCGTGAACTTTTATTTCCATCTGCAAAACCAGTACTAACTGTTGACATTATCTTTTCACACATTTTTTTACTTCACAAAAGTTATGGCTTATAGAGAATTATAAACATACTGCTTATAAAGAGTTATAAAGAGTATAGCAAAACCATGCAGGCAAATAGATGCTATGCTAAGTGGCTGGCTCGGACCACTCTTTGTACCCCAATAGTGATGGCACCTAGAATTAGCTTGCAAGTTGTTAGCTTCCCACTACAAAATCTCCATCAGCATCACCCATAAAACATTCTAAATAAAAATATAATACTAAAAAATAATTATTTAGTACAGAAAACTAATGTTTCTCCAATCTCATGTTTAGCATGAATAAAAATTTCTTTAGAATGTTTTGTTATTTTTATTAATTTTTAACATATCATCTAGGTAAAAAAAAAATCTTTGCTTAATATGCAAATAGTCACAAAATAAGTGTAATAGCTCTCCTTACAACCAGATTTCCTCAGTTCAGCCTCCCCCATACACAAATTCTAGAATCCTCAGTGACCATAGTACAATTTCAGAAAACTACCATTACCATGCAATGGATTTTGCTGAAGTACTGAAAACAAGTTCAGATGTAAAAGAAATATAATTAATGACTTTACCATGAAAAATATAATTTATAAACATATTAAAATGTGAGAAATAAACAATAGAATTCCCCCCTTTGTCTATTGAGAGTTTTTTCTTTTCATAAAGGATTGTATACAGATTTTCTTGTCCCTGCCCTGTATAAAAATCTCTTTTTTATCAATACCATTTGTTAAGTTCCAAATATGTGGTAAGCACAGAGTATACTAGAGATTACTAGGATGGCTTCTACAACTTCAAAGACATTCTACTTGTAAAATCTGTTATTGACACACAGCTGGAAGGAATAACAAATAAATTGGATAACAGAATCAAGATTGAAAAGATTTCAGAAGGCTAGAACCATAAGTAGAAAATAATAAGATGAAAATGGATGGGGATAAACAAGATCCAGTATTTAAGTTCAAAAATATCAATTACAGCTGAACAGGATAAAGAAACTCTGACTTAAAAATAACATATGTAAAAGACCTAGAGATTTAAATTGATATGAACTTGACTGAGCCAACAGTGTGATGTCCAACTAAGAAAGCAGCACAAAAAGATAAGCTGATGTGATGGAAAAAACATCAGATTTGCAGGCAGAAGACCTGGCTTCTAATACTGGCCCTACTATTTATTAACTAGACAACCTTGGGGAAACCATTATATCTCTCACTTATCCACACATAATAGAAATACTTATCTCACAGAATTATCAGAATTGGATGCAGTTAAAAATATGTCAAGGTTATATAAACTCAAGAAATCTATATAGATACTATATCATTATTATTGTGATAACATGTAGGAAAGGGTATTCCTGTAAGAAAAAGATCTATTCAGTTAGATGTCTCAGAACCAGGCCAATTCTAAAATGATTCCAGGAATGCAGCTCAAAAAAAAAAAATGAACTTACAAACAGCTTCTTCATTTTAATTATTTAAACAATGCAAACTACATTGGCTTATATTTATAACTTAAAAGAGACTGCTTTTCCTTGGTTACAAAAGTTGAATTTTTCTACACATTAGTGGCTACATAGAACTGAGATTACTTCCTGTTGCCAATCTTCCAAATCTCTCTGTGTATTTGATTTGGAATCACAAATAAGCAAAACGATTCCCTCTTGAAAGTGCTTTTAAAGTACTAAACAACTAAGAATAATGTCCAGATTTATACATAGCTGTTAAAATCATTTCATGTTCAAGTCACATGAGAGAAATGGATTGAAAGTATTCCTTTATAGAGTGATTTCCCCCCTTTGAAAAGATTTCTATCCACAGCATAATTGCAATGAACTTCACACTTGACAAGAACTGGAAAAGTCCTTTTGCCACAAGCTCTTTTTAATTTAAAATTATTAGTAAGTTCCCAGTTTGAGGAAAATAGTACTTCACATAGAAAAGGCTGACTCCAGTTAAATTAAAATGAATGAGTCAAAACACTAAAAAGTCATAGACACTCTCAGAATTACCTGTATTAACAAGAAAATGAAAGTTCTAAACTCCTAATAATACCAATATATTACCAAGTTTGAAAAAGGATATTATTCAACATACCTACTAAATATGTAACTAAAAATAAATATTCTAAATTTATCTGTTTACATTATCACATTTTCCAAAGAACAGAAATTTGATAGCCTTAATGGCATATTAATTTGTAAATAAATCCAATAATCCATTTCTTCATTAGTGATAGCAGAAAGAAAATCTTTTGACCTAAGTAGTAATATTATCATTTTATGACCCTTCATCATAATTACCATGCCTTGATTTATTCTTTGAAGATAGCATAAGCATTGAAGTCTAACACCTGTATATAAACCCTTGCTCTTTTACTTACTAGCTGTACGGTCTGCAAAATGATGCCTTCTAAAGTTGAGCAAGGATTAATTGGGATGAGGGATAAAAAATATCCAGTATAAACACTGGACACTTAGTAGGTACTCAATAAATCCAGATCCCATTATTTCAGCTAAAATAAATTCAATTTTAATTCAGTCTAATACAAACATTCCTTTTTCATTTTAATGGAAAATGCTGCTCATTCCTTTACAGACTTTGTTGAATGTCACCTTCTCAAGGAGACCCCTACTCACAGCTATTTAAAACTCAAATACACACAAAGGAGCCCCACTCTCCTTAGCCTCCTCCCAAGTTTTATTTCACTCCACACACAGCACTGATAACCTTCAAATATACCATATAATCCACCTCTTTGTTTTGCTTATTGTCTGCTTCTCTCAACTAAAATATAAACTCCATCATCAGTAAAACCCTTACAGTTTGACAAGTGATGGCCAGCTGTGGTCCTCCTGTTGCCATCCCCTCCTCACAAGGTGGGGAGTCCCCAGGGCTAAAGATGTGCTCACCAGGAAACCATAACCTCCTTTATAGATCCTGTTTCAGGGACCCCCTGGGGACTTGGCTGGCACTGGCCTCTCCCTTTAGGCTCAGGAGCTGACTGTTTATGGCAACGGTGGTGGGCTGTGGGGCACATATGCCTACTGGCAGTGTCCTTCAGAGTACAAAATATAATCAGGATTGAAGGGGTTTCAGGGTAGGCCAGCGGCTTCCATTTATATTCTTGCACCTCAGCTATAAAAACATTTAGGGAAGCCTTGTCTTTTAGGGCAGAAAACTGTTTTTTTCACTGATGTATCTCTAGTGCCTAGGACAGAACTTGGTATCCAGGAGGTACTTACTGTTTGTTGAATGAATTAATTAGGTAAGTCAAATTACAACAGA